TCTTAATTCTTTAAATAATTATATTTTTATTTGAAAGTGTAGAAATTAATGTCTACCAATTACAAGATAATTTTTAAGAATCTGCGTTAAAAAGTCAGAATTCAATTAATATTATAGAATAATAAGTTTGTGTATTTTGATGTTACGTACTATGTTAATTCAGTAAAAGAATGGAAAAGCCTATAATATGTATTCTGGAATCTTTAAGCAGTTAGTTTGAATACGTGTAAGACAAAGAGTTGTTTTCTAGAAAAATATATATTTCTAGTCATAAGAGTGCTAGAATTGAGGCTATAGTAGAATTAGATACAGAAAAACTACTGGAAAAGTAACTTAAAGAACTGCTGGTAGACAAATCTTTTCTGTTCATAAACAAAAAAATGTTTTAGATATCATATTATGAAATAAAACAAAAATTGACAAATGTCAGATCCAACACACACACACACACACACACACACACACACACACATGTGCGCACACACACACACTCACACACACACACACACTTGGGGCAGGCTGTCACCAGCTTAATGTTGGCTTTTGTTTACTTCATCTGTAAATTGATTATTTGAAATCAGAACACATTTTTTCATTTATACAATATTATGGAATATATCTTTGTTCATAAGCCAGCCTAAGTCATTATTTTGTCTCATGGTTTTTGCGCTGTTGAGGCTTTGCATAGGAAGTCTTTCTTCATGTCCAGGTTAAAAAGATATTTTCCTATATTATTTTATTTCACCTTTACAGTCGTATATTTTACATTTAGTTTTGAGAGGAGGACACTTTGCTATGAGGTGCAGAGGGATCCAATTTTAGTTTTGTCTATATAATAAACCTGATTTCCCAGTACCATTTATTAAGGTAGCATCCTTTCCCTATCGATTTGCATTGCTGCTTGAAATCATATTATAAGCTCACATCTGGATTAGTATGTTTCTGAAATATCTCTTTTATTCCATTAGTCTATTTTTTTTCCCAATTATTTTTGTAACTATGGCCTCAGAATAAATGTCAATATATAGTTAATGTATGGACCAATACCTTCTCTTTGCTCCTTTTTTCTAAGTTGATTTAATTATTCAGAGACCTTTCAAATATGTTTTTAAAGAAATCAATTAGTTACTTAAAATATTCAACTAGAATTTGTATTCAATTAGATTGATTTTATAAGTTTGGGAAGAACTGACATTTTTATATTAAGTCTTACAAAAAAAACATAGTATGCCTCTCCATGTGTTCAAACTGTGCTTATCTTTTAATACTTTGCTACTATGTTATATTTTAAGAGAAAAAAGTATATACTAGAGGAATTATCACAAAGTAAGCACATTTATGTAATCATCACCCTGGTCGAGAAATAAAAAATTAAAAGTATTCTAGAAATCTTAACTTGTGCTCTTTCTCAATCATTATTCATCACTTTCCCCAAAGATAACCATTATTATGACTTTTGTTCATTTATAAACTTCATATAAATAAAAAATTATAGCATGTATCCTTTTCTGGTTGACATATATAGTCAACGTCATCTTTGTAAAATCAATCTATGCTGTTCTGTATAATTTATTCATTTCGGTGTGTATAATATTCCATTGAATGAATATACTACAATTTATTTATCCATTCTACTACTAATGGGCATTTGAATTATTCCCAGTTTGAAGTTGTTATGAGCATTCTTGTATGTGTGTGTTCACACGCATATCATGCATATGCATTCGACTGTGTGTATAAATAAACTAAATTGCCATATTATATGGTATGTGCATGTTCAACCTTGGTAGGTAATGAAAAACAAATTTCTCTCATAGTTATACCAATCTGCATTTCCACCAGAAGTATATGAGAGCTCCAATTAACTATGTCCTTGGCAACAATGGATGTTATCAAGTTTTCATAATTTTAATTATTCTAGAGTGTAGTGATAGCTATGGTTGTAGTTTGCATTTCCCTGGTGACTAATGAGATTGACCACCATTTTATATGTTTACTGGCCTTTTAGAGATGTTGTTTCATGAAGACATTGTTGATGTCTCTTGCTCATTTCTCTATTGAATTTTATAAACTTTTATTATTGATTGGATAATATGTACATATCTATATATATATTGAGATTTCTGACTCTTTATCAGATACCTGTTTTGCAAATATCCTGTCTATAACTTAACATTTCATTTTTCAGATTAATAGAAGTTTTAATTTTAGTAGTAATGTAGTCAGTTTATAATTATTTACTTTTTTATGTGTTGTCAAAGAGATTTTTTTACCCTAAATTCATGAAGATATTCTCTTATATTCCAGAGATTCTATCTGTTTATCTGTTTACTCTCTCCTTAAGATCTGCAATCTACCTA